CAGATCACTACCAAAGGGCCTGAACCAGCAGGGTGGTGTGTCTACCCCTAATCCCAGCACTTGGGGGGCACAATCAGAAGGATCCAGAGTTCAAAGGCATCCTATCTATAAAGCCAATCTGTGCTTCCAAGCCCTGTCCCAAAAGGAAAGGATGGGCAGGGGCTGAACTACTGGCCGCAGGGCTCAGTCCCTGCCCTTGAATTTCAAGGCCTTCCTGTCTACCTCAAATCCTGTAAGGCCCTGGATCCCTGGTGGGCTTGGCCTGTGTAGGGACAACCACCTTAACATCAGCCATCACCTTAACTACCATGAGTAATATTTTCTGCTCAAGGTCCAGGCAGGGCTCCCATTAACGGCCTCCAGCACTCAGTTCCCCTCAGGCTTCAGGCTTCCTGATTTACCCTCCCTGCAGCTGGAATGTGAGCCCCTGGAAGATCACAACTTCCTCTTCCCTAGGCCTGAGGGGGTCGTAGCAACCCCTGCCAGCCTGGGGGAGGACATCGGGGAGGCCAGAACAGGACAACAGTGGATGGGGGCAACACCCACAGGGTTGCGGGGTCACATTCCTCAGCCCTCAAATCAGTTTGTCTGTGGCCAGCACAGGAGAAATGAGCTTCCCACCCATGCAGGGAGGGCAGAAAGGGCAAGCAAGAAATCTACCCAGCGCCCCAGTGCCCTGGCTAGAGTCGCCAGAAAGCACCCAGCATGTCCACCCTGGTTAGCAGCCATGGCCAGTGCCATGTAAATGACCCCAATGAAACTAAGCAGAACTTCTGAGCTGTGTTGCTTACAGCTGCAGCATCTACCAGGATACTTTCTGGACTGTTTGCATCAAATTGCTAGCTCCATGCTCAGCAACTGCCACAAGGCTGGCACCTGGACTGCTGCCCTCTTCCATGAGGAGGGCACTATGGCTTGGCCCCTGAAACCTCCAGGGACCTGAGGGGCCTGTCCTGGCCTCAGAGCCCAGCTGCAGCTGGTGCTGTCATCAGCATCTCTCATAGGCCCAGGTCCTACCACCATCAGGAGGTGTGGGAAAGTTGGAAAATTGGCCAGGTGGAGTACAGGCCCCACTTCCCAGGATGGAAGGATCTTCCTGTTTTTCTCTCCTTAGGCTTCCTCCCTTCCCAGAGGAAGAAGTGAGTTGCCCCTGTTCTGCGGTGTCTCTGAACATGCCCGTCTCCACCCTGGCCCTCCACGAACTCTCATGAGCAGCAGCCAGTTGGCTAAGACTGTGGAAACGGATGATGATGAGACAGAGGCAGTTCCCAACTGATCCTGTGCCAGCAAGGCATGGCTGCCATACAGTGTGGAATGAGGGTGGGCCCTCCGGCCAGGCCACAGGCCTGCTCAGGGATCAGAAAGTGGGGAGGGAGGAGGAGTAGTGATAAGAGCTGGTCAGGAGTGTTCCTGTGCTTATCCCACGCAGAGGAGGAAACTGAGGCATGAAACTAGGTTAGAAGTTGGGTAGCTTTAGCCTCTGGAAATTAGAACATCTTTGATCTCATGGGACACTAGGATGCCACAGCCCAGGTTGGGGTTCAGATCAGGCATGTGTGTGTAGCTGTTTCCTCTGAGTGGGTCTCGAACCAGAGCCAACTGTGATCACCCACCCACTTGGGAACCTCATGAGATCAAGCCATTAACATTTCTGGTAGGTGGAGGGGAGGTGCTCTTGGGGCTCACAGGCCTTTCAAGATCTCCTCACTAGGTCCAGCCACTTTCCAAGGTTCTACAGGAGGTGAAAGAATGCTGGGGAGCTCCAGGGGACACACTCTTCAACAATGTAGCTACCAGGGGGATCCCCAAAGGTACAACTTTTTTGTGAGTCATCCACACTGCATGTGGGATTATCCAGTGATGTAGACGTCCATAAATACCCCAGGGAACTTCTTGGCAGTGTAGCTGCCTATGCAGTTCCTCTTGTCCCTGAAGTAACCCTAATAAACTCATTGTTTCACCAACCTGGATTTGCACAGATTCCCTTCTTTGGTTCATTGTCACCATTTCTTTCTGGAGTGAACAGGGAAAGTCACATATGGAACTGTGGTGAAGGAGCTGGTCTCGGAAGGACTTGTGGATGGCATGTCGGTTGGTACTCGGCCAGCACAGTCCGGAGACAGCCAGGGACACTCTGGCTATGAAGGTGGAACTACAGAGTCTAAGTCATCACTGTCAAGGGTCCCACCTCCCATGGACACAGAACATTCTGCCGGGCGAGTACCTCTTGATACAGGAAGCATTGTATGTTGCCATCGTAAACTCCATGAACTCAGAATGTGTTTGCATTTGGAGACAGGGCCTCAGAATAAATTATTAAGGAACTGGGTATGGTGATACACACCCAGAGATTGAGGCAGGAGGTTCAGGAGTTTGAGTGTAGCCTGAGCTACAAAGTAAAACTGTCCCAAAAAGTTTCATCCACCAAGGTAAATGAGGCCACCAGGGTGCCCTAACCCAGGCACTGTGAGGACACAGTGGAAAGATAGTGTCTATTAGCCAAAGAGAGGGGCCTCAGAAGCAGGCAGCAGTCTGGTCCTCAGCTTGTAGCCCCAGGCCTGTGGAAGACCCAGCTCTATATACAGTGTACCCATCATGGGGTGATCATAACAGGAGGCCAAACACACGGACCCTGCTGCAAAATAAAGCTTTGTGAGCTTCCAGGCCACTGCCCTTAGCCAGGAGTCCTCAGAGAACCGGAACTCCCAGAAGTTGGTTACATGTGTTCTCTAATAGCTGATTAAATTGAGGTTCCCCCCCCCCAAAACAGAAGCCTTTCTGCCTCCAGACTCTCCACAGTGGGAACTCTGTGTCTGCTCATGTTAATGGAAGTCCTTGAATGTGAAAAAGCCTGTTTCTTAGCTCAGGTGGGCTTAACCCAGGGAGCTGAAACCCCGGAAATTCAAGAGCCATTCAAGTCACCCTGAGCTTGTAGCTCCCAGGTTCATTGTCTCAAAACTGATTTAAAAAAAAAAACAAACTCAAGGACAGCAGAAAGGCAAGCAAAGCTTTATTGAGGTAGAGAAGCAGCTCCCTACAAGGAAAGGAACTCGAAAGTGAGTTGCCAGCTGACCTAGACTTGGCTGGGCCATTTTTATGCCCATCCAGTACTTGAGTCTGCTTGGCACAGGCCTGTGTGCAAACTAGGGGCTGAATTAGAGGTTTCTGTTTAGCTGAATGTGTGTGGGAGGTTTTTGGTGGGAGACAGTAAGAGTGAAGAGTGCAGGAAAAGCACACCAGGAAGTTTTAAGGGAAGGGGGAGCAGGGAAGTGAGGAGAGCAACGGCTGGTGATCAGCCGTCATCTTCAAGAGGCAAAGCCTTTGAAAACCCGATCCTGAGCTAAACTTAGAGGGAAAGAACATTGCTACAGAGCACTGTGCCCGCCAGGCCCAGTCCAGTGTTCGTGTGAAGAAAGGGGGACCTTTAAGCTAAATTTTCAGCTTTGAACTAATTTCAGTTGTTTGATTTAGTGTTTGTTTCCTGGGTCCAGCTTCTGCATTCACTGCCCACACACCACAGGAAAACCGCTACTCTGCAGATGTCTCCTTGTGAGACAAGCTCCCTAGCTCTGCGTAGAGCCCAGTGAGAAATGAGCTCTGCCAGTCTGCAAAGGCGTTTCTCTTCAGGGGCCTCTTGTCCTCCTCTAAGAAGGAAACTGCCTCCCTCTGATCTCCCCCTGATGCCTGGCCAACTGCTGCACTGCAGTCTACAGCAATCGTTCGCACACTCATATAAAAAGTAGATGAGTCTTTAGAGACAGACAGTAGCCTGCTCTGACCATGGCATGCTGTGGATACCTACCCAGGTTGATTCTGTACAGTTACTAGTGTCAGCTAAAGATAACTGATTAAAAATGATGTCCTGGGTGTGTCTGGGAGCATTTCTCTGTGAGATAAAGGGCATTTGAATTAGTAGACGGAGGAAAGCCTCGTAGGCCTTGTCAGATCAGGTGAAGACCTAGCTAGAACAGGTGAAGGGACGTAAACGCTGCACTTTTGACTCTATATGCCCTTCCCCCTCTGTGATGACGCCCCAACAGCACAGCCCCAAACTCACAATGGCTTGTCACAGGGACGCTTTTTCAGTAGAGGTGCTGCCAGCTGGACCTCACTGGGGGAGACAGTGCTATGGCTTGGATTTACCTCCTTCCTGAGGCTCCATTCCCAGCCTGGCCTTCTTTGACTTCCTACAGAGGAAGCGCACTCAGCTGGGAGCGGAGACTCACCGGGAGGTGAGAGTTTCAACTGAAGCTCAGCCTAGAGTCGGAGGTTCCTGACACAGGCTGGATGTCAGGCGCCCCTGGGGCTAAGATTCAGCTAAGAACCAGGTTCATGAGAGGGTGGGGTTCAGTGGGGGTTGGGGCTCAGCAGGAGTAACGGATCCCTTGAGATCTGGGACCAGCAGGAGAGGGACTCAGCCCGCTACATCTGACTGCAGCCATACTGAGGTCAGACTTGGGCTGAGCTGAGCCTGGCTCAGGGACTCCAGGAAGGGGTGTGTAGCCGGGAAGTGTGTGGTGTCCTGGCCCTCACGGGGCAGCCGGACACCTGGAGTCTGCACTGAGATGGATCCTGGTTAGGCTTGTGTTTTCCTAGCCTCTGCCTTCCCTCATCTCCAGAGTCATCACTGCCATCCAGGGAAGCACTGCATACCTCCAGCCCAAGATGGACTGCCTCTGTCCCGAGCTGCAGGCTGACCTTGAGCTTGACTGTTCTTTGTCTCTGACATCTGTGCGCTCCACTGGGCCCCACCACCCGACCCTGGCATGCTGCCTGGCACCGAGTGGCACCATCATAGGTCTGATGACCTCCAGGGTTTGGTCTCCAGCTTTCTTCCCCGGCCTGTCTCTGAAGAGGGATCTCCTCTTCCAGCCTCTCTGAGGTTAAGCTGTGTCTCCCAACATTTCCAACTGCTCAGACACAGCTCCATGACACAAGCTGGTGCATGGTGAGCAATGTGGGCCCAGACACAAAAGCACATGTACACACTCGGGTGTAAACAAAGAGTTAGTTTTATTTTACTTCATTTGTTCTGGAAGTTGGCTTTAAAACAGGGAGAAGGGGACAGAAGATGGGGACAGGCTCCCAGAGCTCTAATTTTTCAACATGGCAAAAGTCACAGCCCTGGACCACAGCCTTATGGATCTAGGCAGCAAGGCACGACAGAACTGCCAGGATGTCTGTCCCCTGGGAAGGAGCCATGTCGGGCGATGGCAGCTCAGAGAGTAGGCTGTTCTTAGCCCGGGGCCTCCTTCAGGGTCTCAAGCAGGGAGCCAAGGGTTTGTCCTCTTGCCCCTGACCTGGGAGTTCTTGGCTCAGTAAGGTCCGAGGGGCCGCCGTAAGCATAGTCCCCAAAAGGCATATGCCAGACACCCCCATCCTATGGGGGTGCTGCGGGAGAGCCCAGAAGGAAGGGCTGGTAGGCACAGCAGAGGGGTCATCCCAGCTTAGCATAGCCTGGAGGGGCAGTCAGTTCCTGGAACACGGATCTACCTATCCCCCATCCCGCCCCCAGGGCACAGGTACAAGACCCTGGTCACTCCCTACCCATCCTGCAGGGAGGCAACCGGAGCCAGCGCTTCCTAAAGGTCTTCAGCTCCCTCTTCTCCTAAAGGCCCCCGAGGGAGTCTGCCAGAGGCCATGGGTTGAGGGCAGAAAGATTCCCATTGAATCCTTATGCCAGGCCCTCCCTGAGCGCTCCCCAGGGCCCTCAGATCCACACCGTGGCCTTGCCGTCCCTGCTGCCCGTACTGCCCTTCTCAGAGCCAGCCCTGGGCTTAGAGACCAGCTGTTCCTGAGCCCCCGGCCGGCCCTGCTCCCCAACGGTACCCCCCGACGTGGCGCTGCCGGTTCCGGAAGCTGGGCCGGCCGCCCTAGGTGGCCCCCGAGACGCTGCATTGAGCGCTGAGCCCGGCGGACTGTCCCGGTCCGCGGCCACCGCCGCCACCGCCGCCCCATCGCGCAGAGCCTGCAGGGCCAGGTTAGCCAAGTTCTGATCGTGCGCTCGCGCGCGCTCGGCCGCACGCACCACCAGGCTGTAGTCGGGAGGGCAGGCCAGGCCGCCGGCGGCCGCCGGGAAAGCGCAGGGCGGCGGGCGCGGGGCGGGGCCGGGAGCGAGCGCCGCCGAGGCCCCCCGACGGCCGCGCACGGCGTCCTGCGCACTGCCCAGACCCAGGTGCGCCATCTCGCAGAGGTTGAGCAGCAGGCACAGGCAGCTAACCACGTACATGACCAGGAGGAAGACCGTCTTCTCGGTCGGGCGCGACACGAAACAGTCCACCACGTGTGGGCAAGGCTGGCGGCTGCAGGCGAAGAAGGGCGGCACCTCGAACCCGTACAGCAGGTACTGGCCCACCAGAAAGGCCACCTCGAAGGCCGCCCTGACCACCAGCTGGGCCACGTAAACGCGCATCAGGCCCTCCCTCTGGATGCGCCGCCTCCCGTCGTGCTGCCCGGCCGGGCCAGGAGCGACCACCGTCTTGCCGTCACCTCCACCCCCCTTGGCAGCCACATCCTCCGCGCGCTCCTCCTCCGTGTCTTCCCCAGGGCCCTCGGGCGCCCCTGGCTCCTCGTCGTCCTCCTCCTCCAGCGCCAGCATGGGCTCCGCCTCTCCCAGATCGGTGGTGTCCGGCCAACCCGGAGGAGGCGGTGGCAGCTGCGTCCGGGGCACGCGCCGGGGGCCGGGGCGACGGCGGAGGGCACGTCTGCGCTCCTGTTCCGAGGCGCGCGCCAGGCGGTGGACAGCGTAACCCAGGTACATGACGGAAGGCGTGGAGATAACCACGATCTGGAAGACCCAGAAGCGCACGTGCGACAGGGGCGCGAAAGCATCGTAGCAAACGTTGTCGCAGCCCGGCTGCCGCGTGTTGCAGGTGAACTTGGATTGCTCGTCTGAGTAGATGGACTCGCCACCCACAGCCGTCAGCACAATGCGGAAGACCACCAGCACGGTGAGCCACACTTTGCCCACGAAGGTGGAATGGTTGTGGATCTCCTCCAGCAGCCGCGTCAGGAAGCTCCAGCTCATGTTGGTCATGGGAGCGAGCAGGTGGGACCTGCAGGCGTGTAGGCAGGTGGTCATCGGGGAGGGGGAGAGGCAACTGGGAACTGCTGAGCCCAGAGGTAAGGTGCCTGCAGGCTCGTCCTACAATTGTCTACCCCGGAGACCTTGCGCTCACTGCCTTGCAGAGGTCTCCCTCATACTCATCCTCACCCTGTGTGGGGCGATGGGGACAAAGCATCTCCCACTGATCCTGCCCTTTCTGTCCTCTCTCTCCCAAAGCTCCCCCAAGAAAGCTCCATCTTGAGGCAAGTGTACCTCTCACCCAGACCCCTAGAACCATAAAGCCTGTGTGCTGCCGTTATTGGCAGAGGGCGGAAAACAGGGAAGCCCGGCCCAGCCCCAATCGGATGCCACTCTCCTAGGGTAAGCTTGCCAGCCCCCCAGGCCTTCACAGCATCCCAGCCTGTGTGCTCAGAACAGCTCCCCCATAGTCCATCATTCCCCAGCCCCAAACCATGCTGCTCCAGTGGCACTTAGCCACCCCTCCCTCTGCTCATCCACCATCCAGGGTTCTCCATCTAACCCCAGGTCCTAGCTCCCTGGACTGTCCCAGGATCTAATCCAGGCGAGACTGTGTCTGGTGAGGATGCAGTCCTTCACACAACCACACTTGGGCACCTGTGAGATGGCATCATCCAGGCCGGCTTAGTCTGGAACAGATGTGCCAGAGAAGGGCTCTGTAGTTCTCTCATGCCCACCCTCCCTCCTCACGGCTACCACAGAGTTAGTACCTGCTCCTGGGAATGTGAAGGGAAGGAGTCCCCCAAGCATTCAACACTGACACTTCTGGCTCCCTCCCCTTGACAAGGCCTGGGAGGCAGCAGCAGTAGGTATGGACGACCGGCATCGGGAGTCGTGGCTCCAGGCCTCTTTATGTAGTTAGGGCCTCTCCCCTCAGGGCAGGAAGAGGGGGCAGCCAGCAGGACAGCAGGGGTTCCTGAGGAAATGCCCCACATCCTTACATCTGTGTATCCCCTCCTGGGACCACGTGTGCAGTCAGAGACTCACTCCCTCACGCGCGTACATGCATGCACATACAAGTGTGTCTGTGTGTGCCACATATGCAAACATTCACGTGCACAAACACAGCTGCCGGCCTGTGTGCACAGGTTCGTCCCCACCGATACACACTGTGTACCCGTATTCACACACACGCCTCAGACACAAGTGTATGCCCAGGGATTCATAAATGCACATGTGCGCAGATGCCGGCACACAGCCGTCCATACCCACGCTCACACTTACTCACAAACTCAGCCGCACGTGCGAGGACGAGAGACTTACATATCCAAATGCTCACAAATGTTCGCTCCTAAGGAAGAGCGAGCTCGGGCACACACGTGTGATCACTTACACACGCGCACTCCCGCAGCAAGAGTAAACCTGTCCACGTGTGTACATTCCCAGCCTGATGCACCCTCAGGGTCTACCCCTTCCACCTCTCTGCCTCAAGCATGCACATACGGTGGGGTCCTCTGGTGCCCTCTCAGGAGTGGACTCAACTCTCATACCTCAACTCAGTCTTAACCCCTACCTGAGACCTCAGTCATAGGAGCCCAAGGCTTATGTGCAGACCCGGGGTGGGGGGACCAAGAGTTCCTGGGTAGACCTGCCTAGCAGTGTGTAGGATCCGACAGCTGGGTCTCTGGTAAAGCCTTACTTGGCAGCTTGGCATTTCTCTGGTAGGCCCAGCTATTCCTGTCACAGCAGCTGATCAGCACTGAGCAGGGAGATACAACATTGCCACAAAAGAGACGTTGTAGATTAGCCCGGGGCTGACTTTGTCCCTGGATGGACCAGGACTTTGCTCTGGAAGGACCTGTCACTCAGTGCCTGCACGCACAAGTCACAGCCACTCATTTTCAAGAGTGGCACCAAGTGCTATGGTTGTAGAGTGGACCTGGACGAACCAGGACCCTGGGCTCAGGCCATGCGCAGAGACACTTCCAAACTTGACCCTTGAGTCTGCAACTCCTTCCTGCCTAGCCTTGGCGCTGCCATGCTAGCAGGCACCTCAAACTACAGAGGGTCAGACCCACATGTCAGTGTCCCCTCCAAAGCAACCTCTTCACCCTTGGACTGCGTTACCCGGGTCACTCTCTTCTGAACATCTTGGGTCCGTCAGCAAACCCTGAACACATCCCCATCTGCCTCCTGCCCAACTTGGGAGCAGGCGGCCACTGGCCCTCTAGGTCCTAGCTGCTTCACTCTTCCCTATAAACCTGGCTCATGCCCACTGGGGTACATGGGCTAGAGTACCCCTACTGCCCTTCAATTCCTTTTTTTTTTTTTTTTCAAGATTTATTTATTACATATACAGTGTTCTGCCTGCATGTACACCTGCATGCCAGAAGAGGGAGCCAGATCTCACTAGCCATAGTTGTGAGCCACCATGTGGTTGCTGGGTGTTGAACTCAGGACCCCTGGAAGAGCAGCGGGTGCTCTGAACCACTGAGCCATCTCTCCAGCCCCCTTCCATGACTTCTTAAAAGACAAGGTTTCATGTAGCACAGGTGGACTTCAGACTCCTTATGTATTGATCTGTTAGGAGTTCAGATGACTGTGAACTCGTCTTCCTCCTGCTTTCTGCCAGCCAAGTGCTGGGATTTTTTAGGCCCCTGCCATTCTCAGCTCCTCCAGTAACTTCTGACTAGGGCATACATCAGGGTCTCATCTAGCTACTGCACCAAGTGCCCTTCCTCAGTTGGCTTCTGGGACATCCTCTTCTGTGCTGAAGCCTGGACCTGCCACCCTTCCCCGACTGCACAGACACAAGCACGCTCACCTGGCCACACAAGTTTTATACAGAGACACAGACAGACATGGGGGGACAGAGAACCCGGCACCTGTACACACTCAACACTCTAGCCTGCCCCCCAGAGGCTTCCTGATGGCTTTAAGGACCAGTTCTCTGGCACCAGCTATATGCTGGGGATTCCAGGGTGCACTTGGGTTTAGCATGGTAGAGGCAGCCTCTCACAGAGAATAGTTACAGAATTTACCATGGAAACCTGTAGTGTGTGTGTGTGTGCCGGCTGTGCCCTCTGGCCCCAACTGCAGAAACGCTTGAGGAGGAAGAACATTTCTGAGGTGGGTGTGTTCACGCCGCCTATAATTCTAATACTTGGGAAGGCAGAGGGAGGAAGATGGGAGTTTCATCGTCATCCTCTGCTACATGGTGAGTCTGCTGCGAGCCTGGCCTGCACTGAGACTCTTTCTCAAACCTCAGCCACAAAGTCATCAAAAGACACATCTAGGCCCTGGACTCTGGTTTCTGACTTCTCTGCCGAAGAGAGAAACTGGAAGTCCTTGGAGCAAGTGGCTGATCAGATGACTAGGGAAGGGAAACTGGGTGTGGAGAAGGCTCAAAGGGGAAGAATATTTACACACACACACACACAAACACACACACACACACACACACACACACACCAACACTGGTAAGTGGATTGGTTACACTGAGGCTGCAACAGTTTAACCAATAGACTAAGGAAAGGAGGACAACAGACTGTGACTTCGGTTAGAGATAGCTCCAGATAACAGCACCTGCATCCATGAATAACCAGGCGGACAGGAGAAACATCCCTGCATCCATGCAGAGGACCTGCCAACCGCTCTCAGAGACTGTACACCCAGGAGAAGGGGACACACGCCAACTCCAGTGGCTACGTCTGGATAGCACCGTCACGTCAGAGGACAGCGTGAAATGGGGACAAACACCTCCGCAGTGGCACCTGAGCCCTGCGACTCCGCATCATGGCTGTGTAAGTCCTATTGATGTAAGCATGGGCTCATCACTCTCATGGTATTCTTCCTGAAACCCATAACCCCAACAAAGCAGGAGAAAACACGGGCCAATTTCCAAGAGGGGCACCCTGAAAAATACCTGGGTGGTATTGAAGTGGCCACGGGCAGCTAAATCGAGGAGACTGTCTTCAGAGAGGTGCCCTGGTGTCAGGAGGGGCCAGGGGGATGTGGAGACACCCGGACTGTGGCCTTCAGCTAACACAGAGGCAGCACTGGAGCTTACGATGGTTACATGTTTCATGCCAATGGGGCCTGGGATATGAGGTCCTCTGGGAATCTTTCTATTGTTTGTATTGTTTGTATTGTAATTACAAACAATACAAACCACCACAGAGGTGTGCTGCTACCCCCAGCTTCACAGCTAATTGCGGGGGGTTCTTCATTCAAGGAACCCTGCCCCCAGGCAGCTACTACATCTTGGTCCAGAATTAGGCTCTCCATAGGGTGAGAGTCGGGCCCCACACAATACATAGCTCACGACTCCGCCCCTGCAGGCCTCCCTCAGAAAGCCTGTCCAGGAATCCTCTACCGGAACCAGTCCTCTCGGACATCCAGCCCAGCCGAGGCCCTGAACTGACCAGAGCCCTGAAGTAGGCAGCATGGTGCTGGGTGTATGGCCCAGTGTCAGTAAACACTTAGCCAGCAACTTAGTTATTTAGTTTGGTGTGTGTGTGTGTGTGTGTGTGTGTGTGTGTGTGTGTGTATTTTGGGGGAGACCTTATGGTCCTCAATCGACCCCCAGGCTAACAGGAGACTCAGGAGAGGGGTGTGGTGGCAGTTATCTGTGGCCACCAAGCATTAGGACTTGACATGCCAGGTCTCAAGCCCTGGGCACCCAGTACAAACTACACACCTGCTCTATGACCTGTGTAAGAGTCACAACCCTGAGTCTGGAAAACTACAGGTTGATCAGCCTTCGGCTAAACGACATTCCAGACACAGAGGTGCTGGCCTAGGCAGGTACCACCAGCCTCTCCTTGCCTTCCTTTGGAGCTGCATAGGGAGCACACTTGTGCCCAGTTCCTTGTAGAATGCCCACACTCAAATCAACCTGATCCTTGGCTCCCCGTAGTCCTGCCACATCTGCCAGCCCCTCCATCGCTGAGCCAGCTTCCCCATACAACAGCAACTCGACAGCAGGCCCTCTCAAGCAGGTCTTCTCTCCCACTCCCATCCTTGCACTTGGTACCTCCCCTCCCCTTTCAGCTACCCATCCTCACATCTCCCTCTGCAGTCCCTGGACATAGCAGGTAGGTGGGAAGGAAGAACTGAGAATGAACTGTGGCATCCCGAAGGCTTCTGTGCCAGCTACAGGGCCACACTAACCCATCAGCAGCTGTGCAGGTCCAGCTGCCGAGAGACAGTCTGCTTGGCAGCAGGCAGGCGGATAACGAAGTTTGTTCAGTTTGAGTAGACTGGGCTGCCTCCCATACTGCTCCCTGGGACAAACTACAACTGGCTGGAGTGGACCGGCCCATCTTACCACAGCCTGAGGGGTCTCGGCTGCTGGGGAAGTACTGAATGCACTCCGGGCTCAGCAGCGAGTTCCCAACTCCCTCTACCGTGGATGGGTCGTTTCCCAAGAAGAGCCACAAAGCTGCTGCTGCCACTGCGAGTCCCTTAACACAGCAAGACAAGGGTCTGGCCAGAGCTCCAGGCAGTACCTTCTGTGACAGCCCCCTCCCCCAACAGAGCCTGAAAGGCCAGGATACAGGAGCCTGGTAAAGTCCACTTTAGCCATCAGAGTACAGACCAGTCTGCAGCCCTGGCAGTGCCCTCCCTACCTTCTCCAGGCTGGAAATGTAAGCCGCTGGCTGAGCCCCTCCACCTGCTGGCTGGATGCTGGCTCTACTGCCGGGCTAGGGCCACCTCTCGCCACCAAGCACAATGGGGGATGGAGGAGGGGCCCTCAAGGGCTCCATTGTTCCCCCCAGGTTCTGAATCCATGATTGTCCCTGGGGGTGGAGCGGTGGGGAGCTAGACAGGCCTGCTGGGGGCCCAGGCAGGTCCTGGCCTTTTCTTCCCCAGCCTCCACTTGAGGTCCAGGCAGTTCTGGAACATCTGCACTTTTGGAGACAGCCCAGCACTCCCCAGCCTCCCTGGCTACGTTTGCCTGGGTACCTGCCTGCCCTCTTCACACCCATGTCCACCTAACCTGCCCAAGTCCTGCCCCAGGAGAGGCCTCACCTGGAGGTGCCCAAGGCAGAGCTGTGGCTGACCACCGGGTGGGGGTAGCTGGCTACAACCACTGCCCTCCCTCCTGGGATTGCTCTCTTGGGCGGAGCCAGGCAGCCCGGGCTGAGAGCCCAGAGGAAAAGGGGAGGACAGCAGGACCCAGACACCCAGAATGTCTCATTTTGGGCAGGAGGGGAGGGACAGCCGCCCTCAACTTACAAACATCTCCCTCAGGAGTGCTGCACCCGGCTACAACTTCTAGAGCTCAGAATTTGGAACCTCTACCAAAGCCCCACGGATCTGCCCCTCTACTAGCCCAGACAGGGTTCACTTCTTCCTTGGGCTTTGGCTGGCTACACGCAGGACAAGAGCACACAGCACCCACAGGTCCCAGGCCAGCATTATGACCGTAACTTTTCCCCTGCGGCTGGGCACTTTGCGGGGGGGGGGGGGGGGGGGGCTGTCCCTGAGTCTCCAAATGGCTCAGAAACAGCTTGAAGAGGTAAGAGCACCAGGTTCCCAGGGCTGAGCCCTTTCCAGCCCATGCTGGTTGTACCAGCTGACTGGCTCAGAGAGGAAGACGTGATCACAATCAGCCCTGGCCAGCATTTTGATGACTGGTGGACCCTGGCTGTGTGCAGGGACAGGGGCCACCAGACACCTATGCAGCCTTCATCTGGACTGACCAGGGAGGGGTGGGCAGCCAGGGGCCATGAGCTCAGAGTGGGGGCTGTGATCCTCTAACCCAGAGTTACTTTATTAGGAGGTCATGTCAGTCCTGCTCCAGCAGGAGGGACAGGGATAGGGACAAGGACAGCCAGGGCGAATAGATGTGGGTACACTTCGGAGTCCTTCGGCCTCAGCAAGTTAGCCCAGGGTGCAGAGCCACCATGTGGCCAGACAAGGGGCAAGCCCCTCCTACTTCACAGTGGAAGCCTATTCCGAGTCCTTGGTGCACCCCACCTCGAAACCAGGCAGGTCTGTAACACCGGCATCACTCTATGAAATGAAGCAGGCCTTCAGGCATGGCCAGTGCCCTGAGCCTTCTTGATTTCCTGCCAAGGAAGGAAAACAAAGTCAGGAGAGGCAGGGGACCAGAGAGGTCTGGGCCTTGTATCCTCCCCCGGCCCCCAGGGACTCTTGGACTTTGTGCCTGCACTTGACCAGTCTGGCATCTGGCAGAGCCTCGGTGGCTTACGGCGCCGAGGTATGTGTGTGGGCCCTGGCCTAGCTGGGTTTGCTGGACTCACAGGAAGGCTTGTGCAGGGGACGGCCCCCACAGGGCAGTGGGGGCGGGGCCCACCTCAGAGAGGGCCTGCTTCAGTATAGCATAGGCTTCATCCAGGTTGTCATTGATGATCACCAGGTCAAACAAGCCAGGCTCCTTGCCTGGGGATGGGAAAAGACAGAGTCAGGAACACCGGGAATTTGCCCTTCTGAGCCTGTGCCACTCTAACAATGTGCTAGCCGGCTAGAGCTACTCTTGCTGCCACTGTGGCAGGATGGCCCTCCTCTAGAGAACCTCAGCTGGGGCTTGCTCCCATCAAGTCCTGAGTACCAGAGTGTGGACCACAGCCCCCTCCCAGGCCTCTCCGAACTGGCACTGCCTATGGCCACACGCACACAGGGAAGCAGCAAACAGTCTCCATGACAGTGTCTGAATGTGGACCAAGCTCAGACCCAGAAGCAGGAGCTCAGCTGCAAAAAGATGCCTACAACACTCCCAAATCAGTAAGCAAAGTGTGGTCCCCGAAGGCTCTGCAAACAGAGAGGTCTGGCCTCCTCTGTCTTTGCCCTCCGTCCTCCCTGTCTCCTGGTGAATGGGCTGGCCACATGCTCAGGTGTAACTGGTCTGACTGCACTCACTGCTCTCCATGTCAGCCCGTGCAGCTGCCAGCCGCTTTGCCAAACTGTCCTCAGTCTCAGTGTTGCGTAGCCTCAGTCGTTGCTCCTGAAATGCAGGTCCCGGTCAGGTCAATATTCTGCAGTCTCGGGGCCTGCCCTGCGGTCTCCCACACCAGGTACCCACCAGCACATCCAGCGAGGGGGGCTGCACAGAGATGTAGATGGGATCCAGATCAGTCTTCTTGATGTTGCGCACACCTTGCAGGTCGATGTCCAGCACGCAGATGCGGTTCATGGCCTGCACAGCCCGAACAGCCTCCTTGCTGGGAGGAGGGAAGGACAGCAGGCAGATGTTCAGTGGGATCGATGGAAGACCTGGCCCTTAAGCTCACATGAGTTCTTGCCCGCTGGCCATCCTCAGCGATACATGCAATGGCTGCTGACCCTTGGTAACCTCTTAAAGCTTTCAAGAGCTTCAGAGAAACTAAGCCCCCTCCTTCCCAAGGCCCATCTGGAGCTGGCCTGGGCAGTGCAGAGGCTCCCGGGAACCCAGCACCCTCTGGACTCCCCAAAACATCCAAGTATACCCTTGGCCAGCACAGCCCTTTATACCTGTCCTGCAGGCAAAAGCCGCAAAAGCCTAAAAGGTTTGTGCTTTTGGTCAGGCCTGAGCTGCCCGTCACTGCCTGCCTCTCCTGTGTGAGGTATCTCATGGATCCTTGCCTCACCGGATGGCTTGAGGACAGATGAACATGGGGCATGGCTGGGCCTGCCTGCTCCCTGGAGCCTATCCTCTAAGTGCAGAGGCTAGGGGGAAAGCAAGCCATCTCAGTCCTAGGAGGGAGACAGGGAAGGGCACTGTGTGGTAAGAGGGGACAGGCTGGAGAGCTTCCGTCTGCCACAGTTCTGGGATTACCCTGATCCGTGCTCCCCGGCCCATACCGAACTCAGCCCACCTTGTCCCATACAGGTTGCCCGAGAACTCGGCATGCTCAATGAAGTCCCCTGCTGCAATATCACGCTGCATCACCTCCCTGGTCACAAAGTAGTAATCTGCGGAAGAAGAGGGCTTTCCAGGGGGCATCCCAAACCAGCCCTGCCTGGCCTGGCCCCTCACCATTCTACACGGGCCTGCTATGACCAGATCCAGGCTGGAACAGGTACCACTGTCCCCACCACTGTCCTCGCTGGGGAACTGGAAATGGCCAGGTTCCACAGGACAGGGGACAGAGCTGCCATACACTGGGCAGGCAGACGGTTCAGGCTTTGCTATGATGAGGACCCTAATCCAGCCACTAACCCAAAAGCAAGAGATACTCTCCTGCTGAGCTCTATTACAGCCAAGGCACAGAAAAAGCATTCCCTCTACCTCCTCACACAACCCCCCCCCCCCCCACACACACACCAGCTGGTGCCTGAGACCATGGATTAGCAGGTCAGCTCACCTTTGCCATTTTCCTCTCCAGGTCTTGGGTTCCTTGTAGTATCTAGGGGAAGGGGAAAAACAAAAACAAAAACAAAAACAAAAACACCAAATCTATCACACAGTGAAGGGGATATACAACCTCCCACCCTACCCTGGATCTCCCCTTGCAGGCCTGCTCAGTCCTCTGGTTGTATAGCAGCAGTTGGTGCTCACAGCCTGGGCAGCCCAGACCAGATCTCAAGAGGTCACTGGGACCAAGATACTTACTCTAGGTGGAGGCTCTGGGAAGAGAGAGGGTAATGGGGATAAGGAGGATAAGGAGAGCATCTCCCAGGCTAGGTGTGTGCATTTGGGGACTCTAGGAGTAGTCCTGGGCTGGAATAGCCTCTGAGCTCCTTGCCCTTCAGGGTCCTGAGGCACTCACGGGACACGCTGAAGCCAAAGATGCTGTCATGTTCCTGGAACAACTTCTTGAGTAGGGTGCTTTTCCCTGCCCCTGATGGCCCACTCAGCACCACTGGTCTCGGTCCTGCCATGCCTGTGAGAGGAAGGGCATCACAGACATGAGCGGGGGTTGCCCTGGCAACTGTTCAATAGGCGGTAGTGGCATGAGGGCCTCCCAAGGGCAACATCTCCATAAAACCTGAACCCTCCTCACCACAGCAGTCAACTGGTAAGATGGTAAACACAGGCAGGAAGTCCAACAGGATTCCAACATCCAGCCTCACCCATACCCAACAGGATGTCCACAGAGCAAGTGACCCAGAACCAGACAATGCAGCACTCCCTGGACCCACCCCATACAGGCTGCCCTCCAGAATCTGCCTGGGCTTGGCTCCCTTAACTGGCACTGCCCTCAGGGGGTTGTCTGAAGTGCGAATGTCCCTGTGCCTAGAAACAGCATCCTCAAATCTGTTCAATCCAAGCCTTTGTGGGAAACTTCCCACTAGACACGCAGCCATCTTTAACTTGTCCGAGAAGGACAAGCTGCTGCTGAGAGATGGACTAGCACCCGCTAGCTTCCCAAGGGGAAGTGAATGCAGCTCAGTGCTCAACATCTGCCACAGGTAGGGGCTGCCAGGGAGGAGGGGCTGCTGCAGTAGGTATGAAAGCACAGCAGAAACCTTTCCCATCATAGTCTAATCTGGGTCCTGAGCCTCCTTCCCTGAAGCTCTGCTGGCATCACCCTAGGACCATCTGATCCCACCTGCTCCTAAGCTCGAGTCTCAGCACACAGTCCCACCTCACTGTCAGCCCTACTCCTCCTCCAGGAAGGCCTCTGAGTAGGTCATTTACACAACAGGAACTCTGCCTATGAAGGCCCTCCTTCCTCCCCAGAAGGGCTCCCACCTACCCGGTGTGTCGCAGCCTCCTTGTAGTCTCCACAGCCTCCGTAGTTAGCCTGAGAAGAGTCAATGGCTGCTCTGCACTGAGGGCTGGGGGACTAATCTCCAAGCCCGGACCCCGCCCTTCTGAGCAGTAAATCCCCGAGGCACCCCGGCCTGCCTTGCACTGTGAAATCAGCCCTGTCCTCCCACTGTGCAAGAAGGAAAAGGCGGACTTGTCCTGCTCCCCAGACTGTGCCTGCACCTGTCTAAATTATCAGGCAGCGTCTGGGTTTGCTGGGAGATCGGGAAGCGCCGGCACTGGAGCTGCTGCCGTCTCCTGAAATCTCGGCAGAGGGAGACAACAGGGCATTTGGAAGCTGGATCTAAGCACCTCTGACCTATGAGGGGGAGGCCCACCCAGGTTTTGGGCCCAAAGACATAGGCTGCAGGAAGGGAATGAGCTTAGAAAGGTCTTATGTTCTTAATCCCCAATGTAGGCCATGAGGTAATCTTACAAAAGCAGTGTTGCTGGCATTCCATCACCCGCAGGAGCACAAGTACTGCATGTATGGTACATGTGCATGCACATCACACATGCATGTTGAAAACACACACACTCCCCCATGCACATGTCCCTGAGAAGGACATAGGACCACCTACCAAAGACCCAGAAAGGAGGACCTAGGGTAACTCACCCAGTATCACCATGCTGCTCTCAGTAAAACTGTTCCCTTTCTGGCTCTCCCCAACATGCCTATCAGCCCTATCAAACCGACCACTGTATGCTATTTCCTAACCCGCAACTCATGACCACCTTTTCCCTTGTCACTGAGCCCTGCTGCTTCCACTGTGGCCTGGTCTTAGCATGTCTGCTGCAAACCACACAACCCAGCTCCCACGAAGCTGTCCTCCCCTCTGCCTGCTGTATCAGGCATTCAGGCAGAGAGCTCCTCGAGATGCTGCACTGCCCCAAATCTCCTGTGATGTCCACAGGAGATGTCCACTGTTGTGACCCACAGCTGCCAATATGGGTTCTAAATCTGCACTTTCCACACAACCCATTTCTGGAGCTGTTGGTTCCCTTGAACTTAAAAGGAGCTCAAGGCAGTGCTCACTGTAGGGCTCAGTAGGCTCACTGTATTCCAGACACTGAGAACACAGGATCTGAGACTCAAAGAACAAGCATCATGACAACAGAGGAGAACCAAAGCTGAGAGATGTTTCAAAGTGCATGAGGTAAGAAAGCTTCTGAGAAAAGGATCTCGGGTAGAACAGCCGGTAAGAGGACATGCATTAGGGACAAGCATGCTTGGAACAGATGATCTGGCATCTCGTTGGGCAATGAGCAGCCTGTGCTTATCCCTGACTCTATACCCTGCTTCCAACTCTAGGTAATAATGAGCTAGTATCACCCAGAATCTACCCTCAAATCCTCATTTCTGAGATTGTGGAAGCCTTCACTTGCCCCTATCCCTACACCCTGCAGGCCATGCCCAGGCTAGAGGGAGGAAGGTCGCTGCCATGCACATGCAGACACACCTCTGACAGCTGAATCCTACCCAGCTCTGCACTCCCTTCTGCACCCCTGCTGAGCCACCTAACCTCGCAAGCCCAGACTTTCAGGCATCACAGAGTGTCATTTGTCCTCCTGAGGCTGAACCACAAGAGACAGGAAGACACAGGACATCAGTTCCACCCTGTTGGTACCTTGGTTCTAAAGAGTCTCAATAGGTGCCATCTGGCACATACAGCTCATGGATCTTTGACAGCCCTTGGTGACACTCTAGGATACTGAACTTGCTTAGACCTAACAGGTACCAGCTGGCCTTGGCTAGCTAGCCGTGTGGTACAGCGGCAGAGAGAAAGGACAGTGGGGGCCGGAGAGGGGAAGTACGGGGCTGGGAAAGCCCCAAGCCCACCAAAGGAGGGGCTCTCGTCAATAGCCAGGCAACAAGACCATCATTAATCTCCACAGGGCTACCGCTTATGTCAGAAATTACAGACCTAGTTTTTGCCCTAGCATTTACAGAAGTGTGTACTGCTTAGGAGCATTTTCCTTTGGGGGACCACTTTAGAAACTTTTGGACCCCAATCTCTTTAGCTCCTCCAGTCCCAAATTTCAACTGCCCAACAGAGCCCCAAGCCCTTAAGTGTAAAACAATCCAAGATGGGAGTGGTTTCCTTAGGAGCACTGGAGGAAACATGCTCTGCTGGACCGTTCCCTGGACACAACTTCCCATACAGCCTCCTCCTGCCTGTGCCTTAGGCTCCTGGGACTGGCAATCTGCCAGAACCACCACCTCTCTCCTGTCAACTACAGAGGAGGCCCTTCCAGGAATGAGAAGAGTTACTAGTCCCCTAAGACACAAACAGTGGTAGGCAGATATCAGTGACACATCCCGGCCCTGAGACCCCCAGAATTTAGGAGCCTCTCCCAGCAGCAGCACCCGGAGCAGCCAAAGCGTTTTCATTCTTATTCCTCTACCTGAGTCAGATGGACATACCATGGCCTCCCAAGGAAGTAAGGGTGGAGAAATAGCAGCCAACCACGAACAAGCTGCTGCACCTTCCTGGGACTACCCATCTCCATTTGTGTTTCTTGCCATCAAGGACCAAAAAAAAAAGAACACGCTGAATCTTGACCAGGGTCCTGGATGCCAACCCATAATCATGAGGCAGAGTGAACATAAAAGAAAAAGGGTTCAGAACCCAACGAGGATAAAACGAAAAGACCTAGGCCATTGCAGTCTGTCATCTGCTCGCTGGTGCAAAGGGAAACTAAGGCCCAGCACCGGTAGGCAGGGGATGGGTTAGGTAGGGCAAGGCAGGATAGGGGAGACAGGGTACCACCAGAGTCAGGGAGGATGGGGACCAGCAAATACAGGGTCAAGGAGGATGGTGGATAGGGTAGGGGAGACTGTGGACCAGCACATTCAGGGTCAAGGGGAATGGGGACAGGGTAGGGCAAGAGAGACTGCGGAGGCCCAACCAGAAGTCAGGGTTACTGAAAGAAGCCACCGTACAGCTGCATGAGCCCTCATGCTACCTTTCCTTCTTCGTTGCCTGAACTCTCTCCTCCCACACCTCCTTCTGCCTATTCAAATCACCCCATTGTATTTCCTGAATATTTTGCATGTGTCAAGACGGAAGCTAAGTTTTAAGTGCGGCTGAACAGACATGCATGGTCTCAAATTTACTACTTTAGAAAACTACTGGTCTCCCCCATACCCGGGAAAGATCCGGTGCTGGATCAAGGAAGGGCAGGCAAACCCCAGCAGTGGCGGATGTAGCGTCCATTGGGATATAAAAGCCTAATATGTGTAGGCAGGTGTAAAGTGGGTAGACAGGAGCTAGAACAGCAAGAAACTGTGCTACTTAGTGGCCAAAACGGGAAACCGCTTTAGTGGTCGCTTTCATAACTAACCCATAACCTCCCGAAGGATGAACTGGAGGAGTGCCCACAGAAGCAAAGAGCCTTCTTCCTTCTCTTTTGGACCCTTTCAAAGGCTGACAGATCATTTATTTGCTTTCTCCCTCTCTCCTCAAATACCACGTGGCTAATGTCACCTGCTCCTCCTCCAGCCACCACCTGATGGAGCCTTGCCCACTTCCACGTTAGATAAAATGATGCCCGGGAATATATTAAGCTGAAAGGTGGCTTTAGAAACCCTAACCCGAGACAGGTGAAATCCCAATATTCACACCCAAGCGCCGGGAAGGCCTGCACTGGCAATGGCTGAAGAATAAAGCCAGGGGCTTGGGCTTGCCCAGGACGCTGGGTGGGCAGAGAGTCGAGGAAGAGCGCCGACTAGGATCAGGCTGCGCGGATCTGCGGGCGGCTGGGACTCCGCGTGCCCGTCCCTGTCGTTCTGGGGACCCGAAGGACACGTTCCTCCGGCGTCCTCACAAGAACAGGGGCCACTTGGGGCGGCACGCAAGGGGAACACGCTGCCGCAAGTCCCCCGCTCCTGGGGCAACGGGCCGCCAGCAGCACAGCGCACTCACCGTCCGCACGGACGCATTCCAAGGCGGCCACTGCCAGCCCGGCCAGCGGGCGCCGCAGCATCATGGACCGCCGCAGGACTACGTCATAGCGGCGCGACGACACACGAGGGCGTACCGGAGAGCCGCACGGCTGCGCGATCGCCAGCCGCTTCCCACCTCCGCCCACCGCCAATACGCCACCCTCGCAGGCCCCACCTATTCTGTCCTATCCCGGCATGGGCTCGGCCGCCAGGGTATGTCACAGCCGCTTGTCCGTCTGAGTAGGCCAACGGGAGTGGCGAAAGAGAACACTTGCTGCGTGGGCGTGGCCTATTGTCGTTGCGTCACCTTCAGGCTCCGCCCCTTTCCACCCACCCTTCTTTCCCGGCCTGCATACAGAGAAGACAGCATTGAATCTGTTCAGTCACGTCTGTTTTAGCTGGTTACCTGTTATGTCATAAGTCATGTCAGAGTGGCTAAGCTCTTCCTGAGGACCCACATTCAGTTCCCAGCACTCACGTGGTGCGGTTTTATCACCTACCCTCACAAGCTCACACCCGTACACAACAGACACATACACAGAACTTTAAATCTTTTATTTATTTTAGATAAAATCTTTTAATGTAGCCCTGACTGGCTCGAAACTCACAGAGCTACCTGCCTGGACTCACTGTGTAGACCAGGTTGGCCTCGAACTCAGAGATCCTCCTGCCTCTGACTCCCAAGTGCTGGGGGGATTAAAGGCGGGCACCACCACACCCAGCTGCTGTTTACACTTTTTGAGGAACTTAATTCTGTGTCCCATAACGACCGCAACAATTTACATTTCACCTGTGTCTCTAAGCTCCCCTTTTTAATCCAGGTGTGGTGATTCGTGACTATATTCCCAGCATCAAAGACGCTAAGGCAGGAGGATCGCAAGTCTGAGGCTACCCTGAACTACAAGGTGAGACGCCAGCCTCCACAGTGCGCACTGCAAGTGAAAACAAAACAAGCCAGGCTCGCCTGTAATCCCAGCACTTGGGGAGGCAGGGGCAGGTGGGTCTCTGTGAGTTTGGGGCCAGTCTGGTCTACAGAGTGAGTCCAGCACAGCCACGGAATCCTGTGTCAAAAGAAACAAAACCAAACCTTACAGCCCTTGGCAGCCAAAAGTACCTTCACATGCTGCTGTGAAGGAGTCCAGAGGAAGTCATCCACATATGAAATGCTAGGCTGACCTTCAGGATCCGCAGAATGTGATATCAGAGAAGCTTTTGGGCATGACCGTCCAGGCATAAACTTGGCCTTTCATCCAAGGGTTCCAGATGGGAGAAAGTCCTTGTTTCAAGGCTTTTTTTTTTTTGAGACCGGATCTCACGTACCTCAGGGTAATTTCAAACTTGCTGTGTAGCCAAAGATAACCTTGAGATTCTGACCTGCCTGCTTCTAGCTTCCAAGTGCTGGGATTGTGTTTGTCTCAGACAGCTCAGTGTGAGATGAAGTTTGGGTCTGCAATATCCTTGGAGGCCTCAAGACACCATCTGAAATACTATCCCAATGAACCTACAGGAAAACAAAAATGTGGATGCTCCGGGAGTCCAGGTGCTCCTCAAGGTAACACTTGAGCTCCAAGCAACCATCACTGTAACTCACCACTGCTTTAAAGACATCACGAGAAGCCAGTTTTCACACTAAGAAGAGGTCTCCTTCTCCTCTTCTTCTTCTTTAAAAAGTTATGAGTTAAAAAAAAAAATGGTCTTATACGGTGGTATATGGTGGGCCTGGTGACTCACACTTTTAATTCCGGCACTCAAGAGCCAGAGGGAGGATCTCTGTGAATTCCAGGTCAGCCTGGGATACACAATGACTTCCAGGTTCACTAGACGTGAACCAGAAAAGCTTAACAGCGCTTTCTTCAGAGTGCCTATGCCGCTCCTGCTCCTAGGCCATTGCCAGGACTCGCTCGCTGGCTGATGGATGATCACCCGATCTTTGTAAGGCTAGAACTTCCTGTTAGGGGATCTTACAGGCACTAGTTTACAGTTGCATGAGTTGCCAGTAAAGGCAGCTTTGTGGTGCCTGCTTTCTAGCCTGATAACGACCCTTGCAGGCCAGCATGTACGATTAACTCCGGAGGCTGGCTGCCAGGCTGCAAAAACAAACAAACAAAAACCATGACTTCTCACTGTGTCTCTTGAAGACCCCTGCCTACAAGCAGGACAGCCTGCATGTCTGAACGTCTAGGGAAATAAACTGACCAGTGCAACCTAAGAGGGATGGCAAAAAAAAAAAAAAAAAAAAAAAAAAAAAAAAAAAAAAAAAAAAAAAAGGAACTCAGGAAGAAACAGGAAAGGGGAAGGAAAAACATCTGCCACAATGTTGCCAGGAGCCCAATGTAGCAAAATCCTTTCACTGGAGCATGAGAAGTAAAATAGACAAGCGTGTGCAGTCCTCCTGAGAGCCTCTGGACGGAGTCCTGTAGCCTGCACAGCAGTACACATCGAGGGCTCACAATAGCCGCTGCCACAAGCTCAAGACAGTGAGTGGGCAGAGCTTCAGGACCCCTTGGTGTCGGGCTACTCAAGAGACTGCAGTCGGGTGCTGGAAAGTCGTGTCGTTTGGCTCGGGAGAACAGACTGTTCTCTAATGATATCCCTCACGAGTACCGCAGTTACTCCAGCTCTTTCGCGTTGGCCGTTTTGCCATCCCGACATGGCGCTTAGATGTCCATCTTCCGGACCTGGGGCCCACCACGAGCCCCGAGGCGATCCGTGTACCTCCTGGGAGAAAGTGTCCATGGGATCACCTGGAAAACAACCCGGTGTGGAAACAGATACCAAGGACGCACAGGAGTCCGTAGCAAGGCTGCCCGGCTTCTGTCAACGCACCGCACGAAGCCGTGCTGTCCCCCAGAAAGCCCCGGAGTCAGCGTAGTGCGCGGGTCTTGCCCATCCTGGCTTTGCCACTCGTAGCGACGCCGGATCTAGCCCAACAGCACAACCAACCAGGACTCCTAACCGGTCAGCCTCAACCACGCCCACCGGGTCTTACCCCGCCCTTAACGGAGGGCACCAGCCCCGCGCTGTGTGACGCCATCGCCGCGCGACGCGGCGCCTCCGGGAGCCCTGGGTCACGGCGGAGGATCGTCGTCTACAGTGACAGGTTCCCTGTGTGGCCTCGCGTGGCCCGGCCTCAGTTTCCCACCTACTGAGTACAGTTCTGCACGGTGGGTCTACGAGGTGGCGGCCTCTTGGGCCCCGGCACCAACCGGCCCCATCACGGAGGAGTGAAAGGGAGGGCAACTTGCGCCCTCGGGTGGGGCGGATGGGAGGGGCTTCTCCCCAGTTGACCGGAGGCCTAGTCGTCGTGGCTAGAGAGGAGGAGGTCCCGGACTTAGGACACTGCCCAGCGGGATCGCCTTCTTCGAGGCTGTTGGTCCCCTCTCTTGGGATCCTTCCCTAGGTGGGAACGTCCTAATCTACTCGCTCTCCACTGTTCCAGTCTTGTTGAGTGCGTAGGACCCTGGACTTCCGCCTGCTTAGACCACTCTGGGAGAAATTATTGTTAGGTATTGTTTCTATTGTTAGGAAAACTAGAACGATGTTAAAAAGAAAGTGAACCAAGCATTCCACACGTACACGGCACAGGGGATTTCTGACTCGAGAACCCGCTTCAGGCGTAAGTGGGCCTCGGTCTTGCTGACTATAGTGTCTTTGCAGGATGCGACCCTGGTAGCTGCTTTTGCAAAAAGCCTCCACAAGCTGTTCTAATTGAGACCAGAGGGCTAGTAGGCTAGATTGGCAAGTGACACACCTAGGTCTCACACCTAGTTTTCTGTATCCAAGATTCAAACCACAGATTAAAGATAATTTTTAAAAAATTGCGTCTGTATTGAACACAAAATTTTTTTGGTTTTGTTTTCTAAACAAAATCATTTAAAAACGGTTATGTGGTTTTGTATACTCTTAGGTTGTTTGCTTCAGTTTTTTTGAGACAGAATCTCAAGTAACCCAGCCTCACCCCCTGTAACAGGATAACCTTGAATTCCTGATCCTCTTGGCTCTGCCTCTGAGAGTGTTGGAAATACAGGCATGCACGTCCATACCTGGCTTTATCCTTTTAGGCATTATAAGCGATTTAAGGCATATGGGAACCGGTGCACAGGTCATATATAAACACTATGCCACTGTGCAGCCGAAAGCTGGCAATCAGTTTTATTACCTGTAGGGGACTCCTATAGCCAGTTCCCTGTGAATACCAAGGGGCAATGGAGATGCTCCTGGGTCTGACTTACTAGGACAATAATCAAATGGAAAAATCAGTTTATTTTCCCTTGTCCAGCAGGTCCTACATCAGGGCCAGTGACTGTTTCCTACTGCCACCACAGCTCTAAGGGAAAACGATGCAATTGGGCAGCCTGCTTGGGTAAGCATGGAATTCCAGTCCCCACAAGCACATCCCAAAGCACCCTGTGCTCTTCTGGAAGGGGCTGTTATCCCCCATTCTCAATGCTGGAAGGCTTTGTGGTGCCCTGAATCACCCGCTGTACACTGCTTTGACTATGTTAGTAGTTCAGTGGCCGTTCCTAAATGTGAGTCATCAATCTTGGCCAGTGTCTGGTTGCTGGGCAGTTCTCTGTCATGCTCTCAACAGTGGCTGGCCGTCCTGGCACTTCTTGCTGTCTGCCTCACCACCATCGGTCAACCAGTGCCTGTATCTTGCCTGTAGCCTGCTGAGACACTGTGCTGCGAGGGCAGCCTCCCCTGCACCCTGCCACCTACACACATCCTCTTGGAGAGCTGATTGTAACAGGGCTTCATTCACTCGGCTGCGTCGCCAGGCCTATGGTCGCCTCTACCCTGTGCTGTTGGTCAAACCGGACGGCTCCACCATCCATATCCGATACCGGGAGCCACGACGCATGCTGGCGGTAAGCTTCCTTCAGTAGGTCCTTGCTGAGCCATGGTATTGGGGCCCAGGGTCCGAATTTGGGATCGGAGTTGCATATGTAGTTCTGGTATACACTGTAGTACAGGAGCAGGGGAACAGCTAGACACCAAAACGCCACCAAAATTGGAAGAAACAAATTAATTATTTCTTTTTTGGGTTTTGTTTTTGTTTTATTAATAGAGGGTCTTATGCAAACCAGGCTGGCTTTGAACTTACATAGCTGAGGCTGATCTTGACCTCCTAATCTTTCTGCATCTTTTTTTTTGTAAGATTTATTTATTTATACATATGTGTTCTGTTTGCATGTGTGCCTATGATAGAAGAGGGCATCAGATCCCCTTTTAGATGGTTGTGAGCCATCATGTGGGTACCAGGAATTGAACTCAGGACCTCTGGCAGAGCAGCCAGTCCTCTTAACTGCTGAGCCAGCTCACTTGCCTCTTTAAGTGTTGAAATATAGGCATAACTCACCAGGCTTAACAAGTCTATTTGTTTTTTGTGTTTTTTCTTAATTAGTTAATTAATTAACTTATTTATTTTTAAACAAAACAAAATAAGACATGAAATATGGACTGTAGTCTAATTGGTAGAGCGCTTGCCTAATAGGCACAAAGCCTTGGGTTTCAGGGCCACATAAAACCAAGCGTGGTGGCACACATCTATAATGGTAGCACTCTTGAGGCTGAGGATCACTGCTGTCAGTGCAAGACTTTCTTGGCCTAATTAAAACTTGGTCTTAGTGGCTGGAGAGATGGCTCAGAGGTCCTGAGTTCAATTCCTAGCAACTACATGGTGGCTCACAATCACCTATAATGAAGTCTGTGCCTCGTCTGGCGTGCAGGCAGAAAAAAAAAAACAAAAAAAAAAAAAACTTGGTCTTAAACAAGTGTTTAAGTGCAGGGGAAAGGAGCAGAAAAACATTTACCTTTAAAACTTCTGTTCCGAAAGGGAAAGAAAGGCCAGCCAAATCTATAACTAGTAGGCCAGGAAGGATAGAAGGCACAGGTAAAAGAGATACAATTATCTTTCTTGGTTTCTACACTGACTCTCCTTAATGGTGTGTTTAAACCTCCACCTCTCCACAAGCAGATGCCCCTAGACCTGGATGCCCTGTCTCCAGAAGAGCGCCGGGCTCGGCTTCGAAAACGCGAGGCTAAGCTCCTGCAGAGGACAGGGGAAGAACCAGAGGTGGTTGACAGTTTTGACACTGAACAGTACAAACGGTTTTGGACCAAGACCAAGAAGTAATTCTGCCAGGGAGTTACAGTAGAGACATTTTGTAAGGATGGGGAGGCATCTGTCTTTACACAATACATACTTGAAACCATGGCCTGTTGTCATTGTCTTCATGTGTAAACCCAGTCCTGAAACCCATCATTTAAGTATGTGCCAGCTCAAAGCCAGATTGTAAGTGTAGGATTAGATTTTTCACCAATCCTACTTTATTTAGGGTTCTTAAACACCTTTACCTCCCTTCCAACCCTCCTCCCCAACCTTAAGTAGGGAAAAGGGCTGTAGACCTCTTTTATATACTTCCTGCTGATTAGGGTCATGAGTCTTTAGGGGATTACCAAACTCACATACCAGCAGTTCAATCCAAAGGCCAACACCAAGCAGCAGCAAGAATCAGCATGACAAGTCAGCAAAAGCTGCTAGACTCAGTTGGATTGCCCTGAGAAGCTCTCTGGGACGTTTCTCTCTGTGAAGTCAAGTGTCAAAGCATGAAGATCAGCACAGCGATGTTGATCCAAAAAGTGGGGTCTCACTGTGCTCCTCTCCTCAGAGTCCACCCACAGATGTTCTCTGCTGGCCAAAGCACGACCCTTGCATGAGAGCTCACAGCCAAACATCACATGCCCTCTCACAAAGCCAACCTCCAGCAAAACATCATGTGCCCAGCCTGCAGCAAATCATCACATGACAAACCAGAAACTTCACTTCAGGAAATGCTCTGGTTTAAGGTCTATTTAGGTCAGACCTATTTGTTGGTTTATGGTTGTTCAAGACAGGATTTCTCTGTGTAGCCTTGGCTGTCCTGGACTTGCTTTGTAGACCAGGATGGCCTGGAACTCAGAGATCTGCCTGCCTCTGCCTCCCTTGAGCACTGGGATTACAGGTGTGCACCACCTTACCTGGCTTGACCTGTAGGTTTTTTAATTATTTGTTTAGGTTTTTTTTTTAAAGACAAAGTCTCACCCAGATTGGTCTAGAACTTAGTATGTAAACTAGGCCTGACTCTGTTTCTTTCCTTTTTTTTTTTTTTTTTTCTTTGTTTTTTTCTTTGTGTGTGTTAATGTGAAGGTGTCCAATCCCTTGGAATTGAGGTTACAGACAGTTGTGAGCTGCCATGTGGGTACTGGGAATTGAACCCGGGTCCTTTGGATGAGCAGTGCTCTTAACCACTGAGCCATCTCTCTAGCCCCATGACTCTGTTTCTTGAGTGCTGGGATTAAAGGTATGTGCTATCACATGCAGCTTCAAACTGGTTGGTTGGTTGGTTGGTTGGTGGTTTCAAGACTGGATTTCTCTGTGTATATCCCTGACTATCCTGGAACTCACTTTGTAGACCAGGCTGGCCTCAAACTCACAGAAATGCACCTGCCTCTTACTCCAGAGTGCTGAGATTAAAGGGATATACTACCATGCTTGGCAAACCTCCGAGTTTTAAACATTGCTACAAGGTTGGTTGGGAAGAATGTGGACAGCGGACAGGAAGTACCCAGCAATTACCTGCCTACCACTAGGAACCCCCAAGTTAAACTCCTAGATCACACATAGCCTACAGTGACCTTTCTCACCTGTTCCCTTAATAGGTTTTCCCCTAAAAGACCAGGGAAAAACACCTTAATAGGCCCTTCCCCAAAAGTGGTTCAGGGAGAACCACTTCTCTGCCCTTGGGGACCCAGGAGTATGGCCAGGCTGTGCATCTTAAGCCCCTACATTATTATAGTCTATAGAATAAGTGGCTATTCGGCAAAGCCTCTAAGTGGCTGCCTGAACCTTCACATGCCTGGCTTCCTTCAGATCCAAGAGTGCACATGGTGCCTGACCTCAGCAGCAGGCCTGTGGCCACCCAGCCTTCCATGGCTGTGGTCACTGTTCCTCGAGATTCTGGTTCTCACTGGGATAGGTGGCTACTCAAGGCTGCACAGGCTTTGGAACTGCAGTGGACATTTGTCCTATACCCTCCTAGGCCCATAGCCACACTCCCTTCTTAGCGATACCTGGCCTGGTCACAGGTGAGTGTTGTAAGATATAAACCTGGTTTTGTTTTGGTCCAAGATCTGGGATGTGGGACTGATTCAGATGGTCCATGGCAGCAGACTATCTGCTTCATGTGGTCTCTGAGAGGAGCTCTTTGCCAGGTGTAGATAGTTTAAATCTGAGGACTCTGGAGGGAGAATAAATGCCAGAGCCCGAGAGTGTGGCGCTCAAAGAACAAGCTGCTCCCGCTTCCTTCTTGCTGCTCCTTGTTGCTGTTGTGAGACAAGCTGGAGCTCTGAAACGGGGACTGGACTGGCTCCAAGGAACCCGAAAACGCTAACCAGCAGGAAGCAGCTAAGAGAAGTGCGGACCCTCTCTCATGAACCCTTTCTCTTTCCTGCCTAGTGTTGGGGTGTTGGAAGGGATTGGGGTGGAGTAGGGAGAAAAAGATACAAGAAACACAAATAAGAGAGTGGTTTTTTTTGTTTTGTTTTGTTTTGTTTTTTTTGTTTTTTTTTTTAAGTACAACAGGTGAGGGCCCCAGAAGCTTCAGTCCTGCTTTCTGGAGACCTTCCCTGGGCGATGGCTGGTTTGTGTCTGTTCACTGTGGCCCACGGGGTCTGCTGCTCCCTTCTTGTGCATCTCCTCTTGGGATCATCCATCCCTAATATGATCTTGGTTCTGAGAGATCTGGGTCCACCTGTGTCCTCCAAAGCCAGGATGTGAGCTCAGGTCTTGTACCAGGTGCCTCACAAACTGTTGGCAAGTACTCAGCATGTGTTCAGAGTAAAGACATGCACAAAACTAGGGCTGTCTTGATCTACTTGGGATGCCAGAGAGTATCAGGTTGTGTAATTTATCAAATTAGGGATGGACCCCAAGACCTCATGCACGTTAGGCAAGTGCTCCATGGTTACACTGTTGTGTTGGTGGTACCCTGCTGGTTGAGGTTGCAGGTCTTGCCTGGACTAGATAGCCATTATGAGCTCAGCATTAAAGGCAGAAATCCCTCCCCTTGGCGGGGTCTCCTGTTCTCTGCCTGACTTCATCTTGAGAGTGTCTTTAGACACAGACTCCCTAACCATATTTGATACATAGCCTCTGACACAGCTCCCTGCTAGCTCTCTTCTTCCTACACCTATATGTTAATTAGGTACTAAGTTTCTCATGATAGGAGCTTGCTGTATGAGGCAAATCAAGCATCCTTGAAGTGCCTAGTTCCAACCAATGGTGTACACCTTTTCTGGGAGCCACCCACTCTCCAAGGGGTATATAACCTTTGTGCTCTGGATTAAAGTTGAACTAGCCATCCACAGTCCCTGGGGTGTGTGATCTCCTGCCCCTCCTGACCTCGTGGGCAGTCCCTAGGCAGGAGGGGAACCAACACTGTAGCTCCATTTCTCTTTCTTATGTTGAGACAGGGCCTCACTAAATTGCCCAGAATAGCTTTCAAATCTTTTTTGTAAGCCTGGGCAGTCCTTGAACTTTCAGTATTCCTGCTTCAGCCTCCTGGGGAGCTGGGACCTGTGCCACCAGGCCTAGCTCAGACTGGGCACTTACTTTAATTAATTAGCAGGGTGGGCATACATTTCATGACATGTCTATAGTCAAAGGACAAATTGTGGAAGTTGATTCTTTCACCATGTCATCCTGGGTATCAAACTTGGCTCACCAGGGTTGGTGGCAAGAGCCCAAACCCACTGAGCCATCTCACTAGCCCTGGGTACTTTACAAGTGGTAATTTATCCTCACAGTTGTAGATTTTATACGTTTTGTCTTGTAGAACCTTCATGTGATGTCTTCCCAAAAGCAGTTGACAGAGGAGTTCTCTCAAGGGAGTGAGCCAAGTGCTCTCAAGATAGGTCCCTAAAGAAATACTAGGGTGAGGTTTGGTATTCACACATACATTTTTAATCCCAGCACTGGGGAGACAGAGGCAAGGTTAATCTCTGTGAGTTCCAGACTAGCCTGCTTTACAGAGCTTATTTCCAGGACAGCCAAGGCTACACAAAGAAACTTTGTCTAACCAAACAAAGCAAACCTGGGTGAGGTTGGCCAAGTTGCCTCTCCTAATTAATAACGAGAGAACTGGAAAACAAGGGGGTTTAAGGCAGCCCAGCGCTTGAATGCCATCTGCATAACAAAGCTTAATTTTTTTTTTCACCTACTTTGATAACAAGAATTATGAACTTGCAGTTTAACAGAGAAGCCTGCTCCTGCTCCACAGGCCAGCAAATATATATATATGTATCACAATAATGTTGTCTTCAGAAAAACACCCGAGGTATGGGAACATTATTTACCCTATTCTGTAGAAGCTACGGAAGGTCCCAGGGACCTGTGTTCCCTCCCACATCCGTTGACATTCCAAATTCCCTTCTTGAGAAATAGCAACATGGGATGAACCCATCTCTGTGTTACACTCTTATTACATGCCGCTAGGGCTGACACTAATATGGAAAAAGTGCACTCACAATTAAGCATTATTCCAGACACCAGCTCATTCTTTCACTGGCTGCCAGGTATACCCACTGATTCTTTCAGTGCCATGACAGTGTTAAACCCATCTTTAATACATTTCAGTTGCCCTTGACTTTCTCCTGATGGCCATGGCCCATTAGAAGAAAATGCAATTAGCTCTATTCTTTGCACTTCGTCAGCAAAGCTTCACCTGTCAAGAGCACATATCGCTCTGGTTTAGAGATGCTTGGGTCATTATCTTACTTTCCTGCCACGCTCTGCCACCCAGTGCACAGAAAAGTTGACTAGGTTTCTTTGGCGACTTTATCGGCCCTCAGTGCTCCTGGGAGTTTTGCCACTAACTTAGTTTCAGCAGTGACCTGGAACCCCAGTCCTTTGGAGTTAGCACACCTGGCTTTCCAGAAGGCAGGGTGCCAAGCACTAGCCGACCCCGGCCCCTCCGGGTGTCACCAAGGTTTGGTGGCGTCCCAGTCCTCCCAGGATCCTAATACCAGTGTAACACATGGGATCACATGCAGCTGTTTCTTCGAGAAGCTAGCGCTCAGGCGCACGTGGTAGTGGAATGAGGGATGCGCCTATGGATGAAGCACTGAATGCCCTCTGGAAAGAAGGACCTTGGCTGAGGTGGCCTGCTATTCGCAGTG